AGCTGCGTAGATAATGAGATTGTGATGGTGCTCATGAAAAACTACACATCTAAATACCTTTCACGCTTTTGTCTTGACGTCTCAGTTGTTCTCTCATTGTGCCAAAATATCGACGGCACGTAGTCAACATGCCGCAGATCTTTGCTGCGAGTGCCTGAACGGAAATACCGATTGTGTCAGAGACAAATAAATCATACATGCAGGTTAAAGCATAAATATCATCCACCTGTTTGTTACAAAATGGTCTTGCATACTCTTGCTCCGACGCTAGGCATCCGAAGGCTACCACTTACGGCGGCTCTCCTTATTTCCACAACCCACTTATTTTTCTATCTTCATTCCAAGAAAACCTGTATATTTTTTCCCCTTGGTACTCGAATTCGAGCAACCGACAGCTGCACAACCAACTATGATTGTACGAGCAAATTGACTTCATCACAATCGAACCGAAAAACATGTTTACAGCTCCCACAATATGACTACCGAAACAGCGCACCAGGGATATCTTGAACCAGAAGCCGACGCAGACGGCGCCTCCCATGAGCCTTTGTGAGTTTACGCCTCACCTATTGGGCGTGGTTTTGCAATGCTTAATTATTATTTCATTTGAAATGAGAAGCATTTCTTAACAAACTTTGGCGACTTTGAGCATATCTATCTACCTAGCCGCCTACGACTTTTAGCTCTCCTAGCAGTTTCGATAATGATATCGACACGAAAATTGATATGGCCTAACAAGACTGTATGATGAGCATAAGTGACTTGCCATAATATGAAAATAATGACTTGTATGCCATGAATGTCATGATTTACATTTCACAGTCTTGCTGCTTTTGCAACGATTTCATTCACATGACATGCTGCTAAACTGTTATGGTATGGCATGACTGCATGGCGAACACAAGCGACAGACCCTAACATGAAATTTATGACATGCATGTCATGTAACAACATGACTACATGCCACACGCATAATGCGCTCGCGGCCATTTCACTAGCTTTGCATATACCAAATTTGGTATTACGAGATGTGAATGAATGACGAAGGTACTGGTGAAAACATGATAATAATGGCATGTGTGTCATGTAACAACGTGACTACATGCAACACTCAAGGTGCGTCGCGTCCGTTTTGCTGGCTTCACTTATGCTCACTTATGCCAAACTTGGTAATACGTCCGTGAATGAATGACGAATGTATGTGACTGGTGCAAACATGATGATCGTGAGATGCGTGTCATGTAAAAACATCACTACATGCCACACTCAAGGTGCCAATACACTTTCACGTGACCCGGCGCGCAACTAGCGCCGGAGATGTTTCGTCACGTCACGCCAGCGATGCCACGCCTGATGCTGATCTGCTTGCCATATGCACGCAAGCGCACACTGCGCTGCGTTGCTTTGTCACATGCACGTGTGAGCGCGCCCGGCGTCCTTCAATCACGAAGACAGGCAGACGCGATGCTCTCTGGGTAACGTCGTTGGCACGAAATGTAGCATGCCGCATTTCGCAACGGTTCTCGCCGGTCGTGCCAGGCATCAGACTATAGAGTGCTCATGTTTTGCTAGCGTAGCAGTAGCGTCGCCGCGCCCAGCATGAGCGCGCGTCAACGTTACTTCAGAGTATATTGGGCCCTTCACGATGTGCTCACCACCGTTTTGCTAGTATCACATATACAATATTTGGTATTACAAAACATGAATGGACGACGAAGGTATCCGACTTGTGCAAACATGATAATCATGAGATGCATGTCATGTAACAACTTGACTACATGCCATGCTCATGATACGCTCGTGGCCATTTCGCTAGCTCCGCATATACCAAATTTCATAATGCATGACGCGAACGGGCGACGAAGGTAAATGACACGTCCAAACACGATAACCATGACATGCGTGTCATGTAAAACATGACTACATGCTACGCTCATAGTGCACTCGCAGTTGTTTGGCTAGCTTCACATACCAGTTTTGGTATTACGGGACGTCAATGAATGACGAAGGTGCAAACATGATACTCATGACACGCGTGTCATGTAAGAACATGACAACATGCCATGCTCGTGATGGGCTCGCAGTCGTTTCGCTAGCTCCACTATACCAACTTTGGTATCACAAGACGGGTATAGATCACGAAGGTAAACAACACGTCCAAACATAATAATTATGACATGAAAGTCATATGCAGCATAATACCTCCGCCTCGTGACGTGCTGATTTTAAAGTGACTTATCAACCTTCCTCATCCACGTTTCACATATCATCGATTCCCACTGTACATGGGATCTGCCCAGTTTTTTATTATTCATATTTACTGAGCCTTCAACGAGTGTTGGCACAGTCATTCTGGGTTGTGCCCCCCTACTGGTTGAAGGTACTGCTGCTTCCACCTCGTCTTCTCGAGTCAAGCAAAGCATCAAATCAAGCGAAAGTGAAGTAAAGACGCCCTTGACTAAATTCCGAATGCCCGATCTAGCACGTATACATTACGAGGTGGCCTATGGATGGTTATGCAGCGCGAGCAGTGGGTTTTTACGAGCACTTGCAAGGAGAGAGAGAGGGGGCAACAGCTGGCATGAGACGCGAGCATGCGGTAAGAGACGCAAGATGTGCAGTAGGAGTGTAGACACCACCGGCGATGCCGGATTTGTGAGTAAATGCGACTATAATATGCTCCACATTTAAAAGAGCTTGCATTATGCCTGCACCTGGCATTCAGATACACACAACTGTACATACTCTAAACAGGAGTGGTGGGACGCTTCTGACAATGTACTCTTGTTGCTTATGTTGCGTATGTGGGCGTACTGTACGTAATCTTAACGCTTTTACTGTGAACAAGGCTCCCTCCCATATCGGGTGCCAAAACGTCAGTAAAGTTTGTGTTCTATGGGTCAGTGTATCTTTCTGCGTTTACAATAAGAAGCAAGTGTTATTCACTGTCTTTTTTTTTTTTTCACATCTCTTCTAGCAGCTCACTGTATTTGCAATTGAAAGAGAGACTTTCTAAGCTTTGATCAATGGTAATGCTTATTTTTGTGACAGTCACACGGAACTGCTGTCACTTTTCATCCCTTGGCCACGTTTTTTTTCAACTTCCCCGACTTTTCCATGACTTTTCCTGAAGGGTTCAAATTCCCTGACTTTTCCACGTTTTCCAGGTTGGTAGACACTCTGAACACTGGCATGCCGAACCACCACAGTGGACCAACCAAAAGCGTAGAGAGGCCTTCTCAGCTCAACACAGAAGCTCATGGCTGACTTACGCTGCAATATGTCACACCTAATCACATTTACTTGACTTCCGAAGTTCTGGCACGGCGCAGGTGGAAAGCTAAAGTGCGAGGCCCACTCGCTCGCCGCGGCAACTTCTGCAGCATGCACTTTTTCCCATGGATGCTTGCACGCCTGTTGCTGGTGCTCGAGCGCTTGAAGTAGGCCTGTTCTTTTCGGGCAAGACAACTATGGCCATTGAAAGAGCCCAGAGTTTCAACAACTCACGGCTGCAACTTACAAATCATGATGGAACACGATTAAGTGCACTAAAAACAACAAGGCTTACACAAGGGAGGTGAAAACTATATATTCACTTGGATTTAGGTCAATGAAACCTCCAATGCCCGTACACAGTACTAAGAAGGCTATAACACAACGCTTTTCCTTCGTAAATATGGGCAAGCCTTTCGTTGAGCAACCACTTTTATCCTCACTTTTTTCTTGGCTTGCCTCCCTTATCGATTGACATGCTTTCACCGAAAAAATGTTGTCTAGTCTTTTTTTGGCAGAACAGAGTGTGAAAAGCTCGAAAAATTGACAAGACTGTTAGAGTCAAATGTCTGACACTTTTTGGTTGCGCTACCGTCTCGCACAGAAAGTCAAAGATGTCTTTTCAATTATTGTAAGTCTGCATGATGCTTGTGCTGTCCCGGGCTGTCCAGAGGGCCTGCGAGAGGGCGGAGGGCCACGGTCTTCCGGTCCCTACGTGGGAGCGGCCCGCGACTGCTACGGATTCCCCCTAAACGGGGCCGTTACTACGCAGTTCCTCAGGACCTGAATAAAGTTCTTTGTCTGTCTGTTGTGCTGTCCCAAACACCTTTGTAAAGTGTTTCCAACAAAGTTGTAAATTTTGCAGAAGAAAACAGAAACCGTGCCACTCCAAATCACTTCAAGGAGACGTACCTCAACACGTGACGATTGGTGCGATCGGTACACGAGAAAGAAGAGGAGTGCGCGCTTTCTAATGCAAGGTATCTGACACTGAAGAAGCCCTTTCGATTATGTGCGAACGCTTAAGTCACCTGGTACCACTGTGTTGTGGGACTTCGTTTCTCACACTATTGTTACGAAGAGCTTAAAGAAAATGGGGCATTCGAACGCACTCGACAAAACCGAGGATGATGCGCTTTGAAGGGTGCTGGCAGCGACCGTGACAATGACACCCAATCGGACTTCGCGATCATCGATTTCCACTAGATCGAGCGTGACCAGATCTGACTGGTTCAAGTACATGCTATATCTTCCAAATGAACAAGTTTGTTTCGTTTCTGCTACAATTTTTTTAGACACATATATTGCACGCATTAGGACTGTGACAAAATATTTTGTAAGTCCTCATACGCCCTGAAAAAAATCCCCGCAAGATTTGCACGGGGCCCCAAAATCGCAAAAAAAGTGCACAAAGTATGCGAGTAAATACAGTAGCGCAAGCACGTGTAATGCAGACGACTTGGGTAAGACCATAGTCTGCAAAACGTCTGTTCTTCAGCTGTCATTTCTTTCCACCTAAATATTTTAGCCGATAACTGTCATATTGCCACACTCTTTCAAGATTTCATTCTATTTATCTGTTCTGCTTATAAGCAACCAAATACTGCATGGCTTGCTTTTCCTTTCTTTGGCGAGAAAAGCATGCAGCTGAGCTCCAATGGAAAACAGTTGACTGCAACCATAGATGCATACAAAAAGCATGGTGTGAAATGCATGTCCACACTCACATTTCGCTGTAGCAATGGGCTGTGATGATGCCTGATCGCCCCGTGAATCCATACCGTGCTGGTTCGTTCGACATCACTGCAAGCAAATGCGTGGCCTCAACTCAGCGCAATGAAGAAAAGCACGGGAAAGAAGTGAAGCCTCCAGCATGGAGCACTTATTGTGACACAACAGGCTGTGCGGCAACGCGTAGAACATACCACATGCACCCATGTAAAAGGCCACTTCCAGAACTTCATTAAAAAAGAGCTATCGGAGAATACATTTAGAGATTATTTATGAATCAGCCACACCTTTTTTTTTTTCCAGGAAAACAAGCAGTATCTGTTGTGCGATCTGAGAATTCCTAAGCTTTTTTTTCAGAAATGCCCAGCCCAAAAGTCAGAAGTTCAGGATATATGAAAAATTTGCATGATGACAGGGCTGCCAAGAAGACACAGCATGTTCCAAGGTCAGCACAGCATGCTTTCCCGAGATAAAAAACTCGTTTCTGCAGGGTGTCACAAAGACTGGAACAAATAGAGGAGTGGGCGCACTATTTCGTAAAAGCACTCAGCATCCCAGGATATGGCCACGTTCCATTTCCCAAGTTTTGTTATCGTCCTAAAACACTACACGATTCTCAGCGCAAACCGCGCCTGCAGTTTTCGAGAAGCTTCCGGACTGTAGTAGATCATTTCGATAAGATAACGCCCACTCTGCGAACGGTACAGATTATTCTGGAGCCTACGCCACCGCCAGCGACAACGCTAGAACATTCGACGACAAGAGTATAAATGCCGACGCGCTTCGCCGCTTGTCAGTTGTTGATCGACGGCCGACGCTCCGTTCGCGGCTATCAGTCTAAGACTGCTACTATAGTTCGACTTTCCGTTTACTGGGCACAGGTTCGCCCAAATAAACAGTTAAATTCCACCGCAAAGTCTCCTGTCTTCGAACACATCACGACCCCGGGACATCTGGTGGAGGTGCTGCTTCTTTGATGTTCCGGACGCCCCCTGCAAGCCGTGACCCCAGCCCAAGCGGCCAAGAAGACACGGACGCTAACCCTGAACAGCGAACAAGCCGCAGGCAGAGGGGACTACAACCAGAGTACGGGCCCCTTCCTGAAGCAGCGAGGCAGACCTGGATCCCGACATCAACTACTGCAACCATGACCGCCCCCGTGCAGCCTGCACCACTCCTGCTCCGGCAATCCAAAGAGGCGCCAACTTTCCACGGTTCGCCACTGGAAGACCCTGAAAGCTGGATCGAAAGGTTTGACCGTGTCGCCGCCTTCAATGACTGGACAGACGATGACAAGCTCCGGCATGTGTATTTCGCCTTAGAAGATGCTGCTCGGACCTGGTTCGAGAATCAAGAGCGAAGCCTTACAACGTGGGACGTCTTTCGCGCCAGGTTCCTCACTACTTTCGCAAGTGTGGTGCGCAAGGAGAAGGACGCAGCTCTTCTCAAAACCCGCATGCAGATGCCAAACGAGAACATGGCGCTATTCACGGAAGATATGATTAAACTTTCCCACCACGCTGACTCCGACATGTCCGAGGAGAAGAAGGTCCGTCTGCTCATGCGAGGAGTAAAGAAAAAACTCTTCGCCGGGCTGATCAGAAACACGCCAAAGACGGTCGCCGAATTCATTTCAGAAGCATCTACGATAAAGAAGACGCTCGAGATGCGCACGCCGCAATATAACCGTAGCTTCTCGTCTGCAAGCTACGCCGGCATTCAAGCGCTTGGAACCACTGACTTGCGGGAGACAATCCGAGCGATCGTGCAAGAAGAGCTGCGAAAATTACTTCCTTCAGCGCAGCCTCACGTGGAATCCATCGCGGACGTCGTACACCAGGAGATCAAGCAATCGCTGGGCGTCTCTCAGGCTCAAGAGCATCAGCTGCAAGCCATGAACTATGCTGCTGCAGCTCGCCACCACACCCCTCCTCCACGCGCACACCAAAACACTGCCCCATCGCACTTCCGTCGCCAGACGCCACAGCCGCCACAACCCCCACCGACGTCCTACCGTTCGTTCGCCAGCGGCCCAGTGCAGTGCACCGAGGAATAATGACGTCTGGCGCACCCCTGACCACCGCCCGCTCTGCTACCACTGCGGCGAGGCCGGACACACATACCGCCGTTGCCAGTACCGACAGATGGCACTGCGTGGCTTCACCGTCAATGCACCGCGTCCCGCAGCCAGGAGAACGGCCACGTGACATCGCCGACTACCTGACAGGAACTCAATGGACACCACAATGTCCTTCCCGTTCGCCGTCGCCCAGCCGCCGCATGTCACCGCACCCCCGACAGTACTCTGGCCCAACGCGGGGCCGGTCGCCTAGCCCGTATCCGGGAAACTAAGGGCAGCAACCGATGGAGGTGCGGTTGCTGTGCGACGAACTACCGGAGATCCGACGACGACGACAACGCCGCGACAGAGCTTTCCGAACACAACGCCAACCAGGCAAAGCCCTGACGACGAAAGCTCACTTACCGAAGGTGGCCTGACGACGCAACATGGAAGCAGCGGAACAAGCCAACGCAGCCGTGACCCGACGCCACGCCCTAACTGTAATGCGAGACGGCGAACTAGCGACCTCGACGTTCTTATCGACGGCCACAAAGTGACCGCTCTCGTCGATACTGGAGCTGACTATTCTGTCATAAGTGGGTCGTTCGCCGCGAAGTTAAAGAAAGTTAGGACAGCTTGGGAAGGCCCTAAAATCCGCACAAGTCGGAGGTCATCTCGTAACGCCTGCAGGAATCTGCACAGCGAGAGTCACCATTAACGGCCGTATTTATCCTACAGACTTCATAGTCCTACAGCGTTGCTCGAGAGATGTCATCCTTGGCATGTACTTCTTATGCCTCCATGGTGCTGTCATCAACCTAAAAACAATGTCGATAACGTTATCTACAGAAGAAGCACTACCGCCGCGCAAGCTGTCAGGAAACCATGCCTTGAATGTGCTGGAAGAACAAGTCACCATTCCACCTCGCTCCAGCATCATTATTTCAGTCGGCGCTCCTAAATCACCTGACCTGGAAGGCGTCGTTGAAGGCAGTCAGCATCTGTTGGTTACCCGAAATATTTGCATCGCAAGAGGAATTGCAGAGCTGCGGAGAGGCAAAGCAACGATTATGCTCACAAATTTCAGCAATGAGTACAAACATGTGAACAAAGGAACAACGGTCGCATACATCGAAGAAAGTGAGGACGCGACCAGTGCTTTCGCCCTCGCCGATTCTGCGGAACCTGCTTAGAAGAACCAAGCCCCTCCCACAGCTTTCGACGTCAATCCCAGACTTCCGAACCATAAGCAAGAACAGCTCAAGGCCCTGCTCCTGCAATTAAAGATTGCTTTTCGTCGTCATCAAAAATTCAGCAGACCCCAATCGCAAAACATCGCATCATAACCGAAGAAAATGCCAGACCACTCCGTCAGAGTCCATACAGGGTTTAGACGCGAGAACGTGAGTCCATGAAGAGACAAGTTGATGAAACGCTGCGGGATGACATTAACCAGCCGTCCAAGGGTCCATGGGCATCCCCCGTGGTGTTAGTGAAGAAGAATGGGACCCTACGTTTCTGCGTCGATTATCGCCGCCTGAACAAAATCACAAGAAAGGACGTGTATCCTCCCCCACGAATAGACGACGCACTTGATCGGCTCCATAACGCCAAGTACTCTTCGTCAATGGACCTCAAGACTGGCTATTGGCAAATCGAAGTCGACAAAAGAGACCGAGAGAAGACGGCGTTTATAACACCGGACGGCCTCTTCGAGTTTAAGGTGATGCCCTTCGGCCTTTGCTCAGCGCCTGCAACTTTTCAACGCGTTATGGATACAGTACTGGCAGGATTGAAGTGGCAGACTTGCCTTGTGTACTTGGACGACGTCTTCGTGTTTTCCTCGAGTTTCGACGAGCATCTTCGGCGCCTTGAAGGAGTACTTCAAGCCATCCAGACGTCCGGACTCACACTGAAGCCAGAAAAGTGCAAATTTGCGTACGAGGAGCTCTTGTTTCTGGGGCACGTTATTAGCAAGTCTGGAGTTCGTCCTGATCCACGGAAAACAGCCGCGATCGCCGACTTCCCGCCGCCCACTAACAAGAAGGCGGTGTGCCGATTTATAGGCCTGTGCGCCTATTATAGGCGGTTCGTGAAAAACTTCGCCCGCATCGCCGATCCTCTCACTAACCTTACCAAGGCCGACGTGGAGTTCAAGTGGGAAACGCCACAGGAACACGCTTTCCAGGAGCTTAAACATCACCTCCAGACGCCTTCGTTACTTGCCCATTTCGACGAATTCGCCGAGACAGAAATACACACTGACGCAAGCAACAAAGGTCTTGGCGCCGTTCTTGTGCAGAGGGCTGACGGACTTCAAAGGGTTATTAGTTACGCCAGCCGATCGCTATCCAAAGCAGAAAGAAGTCAATTATTCCACAACAGAAAAGGAGTGCCTCGCAATCATTTGAGCTTCGTCGAAATTTCGCCCCTACCTCTACGGTAGGCCCTTCAAAGTTGTGAGCGACCACCACGCCTTCTGTTGGCTAGCCACCTTGAAGGACCCTTTAGGTCGCCTCGCACGATGGAGCTTGAGACTTCAAGAATATGACATTACCGTCATTTACAAGTCCGGCAAGAAACACTCCGACGCCGACTGTCTCTCTCGTGCGCCTGTCGACCAACCATCACCCGACGACCCGGATGACGACTACTTCTTCGGAACGATAACTACCGACGACTTCGCTGAACGACAGAGGGCCGACCCGGAACTTAAGGCCCTAATAGAATACCTTGAAGACAGGACCGCCGAAATCCCGAAAGTATTCAAATGCGCACTTGCGTCGTTCTTCCTGCGAAACGGTCTTCTACAAAAGAAAAACTTTTCACCGCTTCAAGCTAAGTACCTCCTTGTGGTGCCTTCAGCTCTGCGACCAGAACTCCTGCAGACCCTGCACGACGATACGACGGCAGGGCACCTTGGTGTTTCTCGCACGCTCGCGAGGATACAAGAAAGGTACTACTGGCCATGTCTTACCACCGACGTCACTCGTTATGTGAGGACATGCCG